GTTAGTGATGAGGCAAAATGCCCTGTACTAGACAATTACCTCATTGACCAACAGGTTTGCTTGCGTTTTGTATAAACAAACCGTTCCAGCATGATCATCAATGCTCTAACAACTTAATCATTCTTCAGATGCTGTGAATTTTATAGCTGCCATCGCACCTTCGAAATACCCGATCTACGGATGGCAGTACAATAAGATTTACTTCAGCTATTCATCGAAACAAAATTATTTCGTCAAGTTGAATGGTTTTCACCCAGATCAAGCCTACCATGACTTGAGTGTTGTCAAGATTTGTGACTGGTTTAGATCTTTTTGCTCCTTATGTTGATTTTGGTCTCGCACACATGCTCACCGTACAGCTTGTCGCCTGCACAATGGCACCTGCCACTTTCGGTAAATATTTGTTGCAATAATAGTATAATATAAGAATTCAACCTAGTAGCTGTTTCATGAAAAGATTTGTTATACGAGAAAGCTGCTTTCATAAGCACACAACATAAAACGCCTCCCATGGTACCAGGCTGTTAACTGGATCTGTCAGCCTCTATCCGCCAAGATTAATTAACTCACAGTTCATGCGGTAATGTGCTACCGCACAATAAAAGGTACCATCCAGTCTAATATTTTTTGTATGGTGTAGTTTTTTTGAAACTTGCTCTCATGTGCGACATTTTGTCAGATTTGCATATAAATAGAAGTCTCATCTACCGCTTGTATGTCTCCCACACCGACAAGTTTATTCTGTACTGTTGTGTATTTTGGTTGAGAGAGAACGGTACTGGAGGACGGGCATACATAATATCATACAGAAACAAAGTCTGTGTGAGGACATTAGTATTGGGTTATTTGACTGGTAGTTAAATGTGTGCCTAAGATTCAGTGATTGTTCAGTATTCTTCATATGAGCGTTTTCATTGTCGGGTTCTGCAGAGTGATGACCCAGTTAAGAATCTTCTGTTCTTACCATATGGTAGTTAATTCTTTTTTTGAAAGTGCCCATAGTGCTAATTAATGTATAGGGCGCGCCTTTCAAATAAGTTTCGAGTGGAAGAAGGCACTGATATGAACCCAAATTTCATAGATAATCTACTGAACCGAATGTTTTCATTTATACATTCAGTTTGCAGTAAAATAAATTAAAGTGTATTGAGAAGTTTGCGATCGTTGTCATATCCAGCGCAAGATCCGCAACGATCCTACGGTTTACGGTGGATGAAAACCGCATACAGAGGTGCAAAATTTGTTGTAATTGTCCCCCTCCACTGGCATGATGAGCCTTGTTGGAAGCAAATATGAGACTAAGGTTCAAAGCTACGATGGATGCAGTGGCAAGTCTGCATTGTAATATAGAGCATTAATTAATCCCAGTTAAATAATAAGTTGGTTTTATGTTTCCAGTCCGTCATGGCATTTGTTCTACCGTTAATTTCGATGATTCGTTTCTTTCTTGTTTTTAATGCAAATGCTTCGTAAGTTGAATCGCTTTGGCTTTTCGATAAGAAATTTCATATACGTAATTCTTGACCACTGTTACAGTGGTGGGCTTGCGACCAGAGCGATGTCTGATTTTTTGTTTTTAATCATGGATTAGTGAAATCTTCAATTTTTACAAATATAATTACTATTTAAATGTTTTTTACTCTTTGGAAAATTTAGATGTCACTTCTAAAACAGCTGAGCTCAAGCAATGGGTCGAAGTTTTGAAAAGGCTTCCATGTTTCTGTGACACTGCGATGGAATACTTATGTGACAAGTTGAAGGTGTACTTCCCGGAAGACAAGTTGGTTGGCGAAATCCCCAAAAGTCTGATCACCACGGTGAGGATCATGAAGTACTTGACCGTGCCACCGTCCAGTGACATTGGAGTCGGTACTAAACTCCTATCTAGTGTAAAGTTTAAAGCATTGACTCCTGTCTTTAGATCATGTTGTGCAGCTAAGATACATGTTTTCTGCAATGCAATTACACTCGTCCGATTCGCTGACAAAACTAGTGAAGATCGCCGATGTAAAACGAGGCGTAAATACTTGCATGAATAACCGTTTGATTTCTTTTTTTTAGGCCATAGTCGACTCTCACTTGATCAGCTGGCAGCAGGGCATAAGTTTGAACAACAATGAGGGCAGTCTAATTTTCGCTTGTATTCTACCAACCTTATCGCTAATCCGTGCTACGTTATCAGTCGTGATTCGCTGTCGCAGAACTGAAGTATGTGCAGATTGCATCGATTGAGAGTTGCCAGTGATTCCGAACAGCGGTGTTTAGGGCTATTATAGAGTGTTACATGTTATAATCACCTTTAGCCGTGTT